CAATCAGCTAGACACTGACAATCAACTAGACACTTGACAATCAGCAGACACTTGACAATCAACTAGACACTTGACAATCAACTAGACACTTGACAATCAGCTAGACACTTGACAATCAGCTAGACACTGACAATCAGCTAGACACTGACAATCAGCTAGACACTGACAATCAGCTAGACACTTGACAATCAACTAGACACTTGACAATCAACTAGACACTTGACAATCAGCTAGACACTGACAATCAGCTAGACACTGACAATCAGCTAGACACTTGACAATCAACTAGACACTTGACAATCAGCTAGACACTTGACAATCAGCTAGACACTGACAATCAGCTAGACACTGACAATCAGCTAGACACTGACAATCAACTAGACACTGACAATCAACTAGACACTTGACAATCAACTAGACACTGACAATCAACTAGACACTTGACAATCAGCTAGACACTGACAATCAACTAGACACTTGACAATCAGCAGACACTGACAATCAACTAGACACTTGACAATCAACTAGACACTTGACAATCAGCTAGACACTTGACAATCAGCTAGACACTTGACAAACAGCTAGACACTGACAATCAGCTAGACACTTGACAATCAACTAGACACTTGACAATCAGCTAGACACTTGACAAACAGCTAGACACTGACAATCAGCTAGACACTGACAATCAGCTACACTTTACAAACAGCTAGACACTGACAATCAGCTACACTTGACAATCAACTAGACACTTGACAATCAGCTAGACACTGACAATCAACTAGACACTTGACAATCAGCTAGACACTGACAATCAACTAGACACTTGACAATCAACTAGACACTTGACAATCAGTTAGACACTGACAATCAACTAGACACTTGACAATCAGCTAGACACTTGACAATCAGCTAGACACTTGACAATCAGCTAGACACTGACAATCAACTAGACACTTGACAATCAACTAGACACTTGACAATCAACTAGACACTTGACAATCAGCTAGACACTGACAATCAGCTAGACACTGACAATCAACTAGACACTTGACAATCAACTAGACACTTGACAATCAGCTAGACACTGACAATCAACTAGACACTTGACAATCAACTAGACACTTGACAATCAGCTAGACACTTGACAATCAGCTAGACACTGACAATCAGCTAGACACTGACAATCAGCTAGACACTTGACAATCAACTAGACACTTGACAATCAACTAGACACTTGACAATCAGCTAGACACTGACAATCAGCTAGACACTGACAATCAGCTAGACACGACAATCAACTAGACACTTGACAATCAGCTAGACACTTGACAATCAGCTAGACACTGACAATCAGCTAGACACTGACAATCAGCTAGACACTGACAATCAACTAGACACTGACAATCAACTAGACACTTGACAATCAACTAGACACTGACAATCAACTAGACACTTGACAATCAACTAGACACTGACAATCAACTAGACACTTGACAATCAACTAGACACTTGACAATCAACTAGACACTTGACAATCAGCTAGACACTTGACAATCAGCTAGACACTTGACAATCAACTAGACACTTGACAATCAGCTAGACACTGACAATCAGCTAGACACTGACAATCAACTAGACACTTGACAATCAGCTAGACACTTGACAATCAGCTAGACACTGACAATCAGCTAGACACTGACAATCAACTAGACACTTGACAATCAGCTAGACACTTGACAATCAGCTAGACACTGACAATCAGCTAGACACTGACAATCAGTTAGACACTGACAATCAACTAGACACTGACAATCAACTAGACACTTGACAATCAACTAGACACTGACAATCAGCTAGACACTTGACAATCAGCTAGACACTGACAATCAGCTACACTTGACAATCAGCTAGACACTGACAATCAGCTACACTTGACAAACAGCTAGACACTTGACAATCAGCTAGACACTGACAATCAGCTAGACACTTGACAATCAGCTAGACACTGACAATCAGCTAGACACTGACAATCAACTAGACACTTGACAATCAGCTAGACACTTGACAATCAGCTAGACACTGACAATCAGCTAGACACTGACAATCAGTTAGACACTGACAATCAACTAGACACTGACAATCAACTAGACACTTGACAATCAACTAGACACTGACAATCAGCTAGACACTTGACAATCAGCTAGACACTGACAATCAGCTACACTTGACAATCAGCTAGACACTGACAATCAGCTACACTTGACAAACAGCTAGACACTTGACAATCAGCTAGACACTGACAATCAGCTAGACACTGACAATCAGCTACACTTGACAATCAGTTATAGTGCCAGACGAACAATCAAAGATAAACACCGTCCAAGACAGCCAGGCAATATTAGTAACCGAACAACGTTTTGTTTGGTGAATATGTTGAGTTTTTTTTTTGTTTCTCTGTTATTTATCAATGGGATCACGACGCATGTGTGATAAATACGGTAGGCCTATGCGAAATGAGGAACAATTTTTTTTTTTATAACGAGTTGTTCGTAATGTTTGTATTAATGTAAGTGAACAATTAAATGTAGATTTGTTCGTTTTCGTCATCTGTTGTTCATATAATGAGAGATTAAGTAAAAGTGTTGATGTAAATATTGTGAAATATTTGTTTTCACTGAACACTTGTGGAACGATTTTGCAGGCCATAAAAGCAATAAATACACCGTGTGACTATACGCTTGCTAGAGTGAAATTTGCACTGTAAGTGCTGCATCACTTGCATCATCACTGTAAGTGCTGCATCACTTGCATCATCACTGTAAGTGCTGCATCACTTGCATCATCACTGTAAGTGCTGCATCACTTGCATCATCACTGTAAGTGCTGCATCACTTGCATCATCACTGTAAGTGGCTCCGTCTAAGGTATACAAATAACTTTGATATGGTAGATCAGCTGGACTTATTGAAGTAGACTTTTCCCTGGAGGTACTAGAATCGTGTGTACAGAAGTTTCTTGGTAACGTTCTAGCGTGTAGAATAGTTCCTTGGTAACTAGTCACACAATAAACGCATTAGGTGTACTATGGTTAAAAACGTACGAATTTAAGTACTTTATTTCAATTAACGATGTTATAGACTAAAGCCTCATCGTGGAGAGGTTAAGCAGGTTGGTGTCTTTTTGTTAACACAGTGTCACGATAAGAGCTTACACATTGTACGCATGTCACTCCCTGAGAACGGGCTGGAGAGATGTTCATGCACTTCCTGATCCCATTATGTGCCTTTGTACACATTTCTGTTACCGCCCACAGGATGGGTATGGGGTACATAATAAATAAACTAAACTAATAAAACTGTAAGAGTAGTAAATGTAGGCTATAACATATAAATATTACGTAAATGACACTATAATTAGTTGGGTAATTAGTTCACCTGGTTTACAGTTTCCATCCAGTGGACAAATGTTTGCAAACGACGTTGTTTCAACATTGATTTAACGTTGCTTCAACGTTATTTGAGCATATTTTGCCCAGTAGGTTCTTTAGTTTATACCAAAATTTGAATAATTTTCTGGCGTCTTCGTCTTTACTTCACTCACAAATATATCCTGGGTAAGGGTTTAGGTACGTTTCCTTATACCTGATGCCACTGTTCACGTAGAAATAAACAGTGGAGCTGGGAGTTTGACAACGCGTGGGTTGCATCCCGTGGAGAAGGTAGCCCTTGGCCTAGCTGTGACCGCGATAGGCCTAACAGGCTTCCTCTTCCCGATAATGAGAAATTACACCTTATGGTTTTGCCAGAAAATGCTATTGTGTAATTTTTAGTTGCGGTGTCTTGAGCGATATTTGGGGAATGCCTTTGTGAATTAGATTGAAGTTTTCAAAACTAACGAAAGACGAATCCCTATTGCTACATGACCCACTGGAGGTACATTTTAAATTATTTTAACACTTATTTCCAGTTGAAGGCGACACTCTGTGAAATAACCCTTAAAACAAACTAGCAGATCTACACAACACTTTCTACACAGCCTCATGCCAGGAGACATTTTCAAGTTTAACAAACTTTATAATATTCGGGTTTTTGCCACATACGACTCGATTCAAATTCCTATGTTTTATTGCATTTAATTAAGGCTAATCAATATATTATAATTTAATTTTTAAAACAATTATCACAAATTCTTTTTTACTTGCATGAAGAGTGAAATAAAATATATAGAGTAGTGAATATCGTTGATATATGTTTGCATAGTACTAGAGTAGATATTACCAGGACAAGATTAATTTAACCTATGTATACCTGAATTTAGATGAGGGCCACTATTTCTCTAGTGGCCATAACAGGAATATTAAGCCGGCGGCTTGTTAAAAAATTGATCTCATTGTTCCTGAGGATTTTTCCAACTGGATTTCGAACTAAAATTCCTGCCCGGAACGCTTTGTGTAATAGTGGCTTTAGGCATTGTATGTACTAACTCTGTCTATAAATCTATCAATTTTTGTATAATCTCTTGTATGTATGTACTTTACCTGAATAAACATTTGAATTTTGAATTTTTGATAATGTCTAGGCATTTACGGCTTTGGCGAGTAGTCGGTTTCAAGGGTTTATAATTGAATGGGTGAAAAAGCATTGTATGGTGTGATAGAAACGACTGTGTCTATCCTAGAGTATGCTTGTTGAGCTTGTATCTGTTGCCCCCCTGTATGCGTGACTTGACCTTTAAAGAAGTGGGCTGTATTAATGTCCTCTTAACTTGTTCATTATTTAAAGGTCTGGAGGAGAGCAGGTCTGTCATATTCGGTAGTGTATATGATTATTTGTTATACATGTTTTCAACAGTTGAAGAACCATTAGCGCTTGATGCAAACTGAGTTAAGCTTCCAGAAGACCATGGAAGGTTTTTGTTGTTGATATGATCATGGTGTAGTCTTGAAGGGGCGAGTGACTGACGGAGATAATAAGATTGAGACGTCTATATCAGCACATGTCAGTGATACCTGGTGTGGTTGAGTCCGACCTTTAGTGTGTGTGTGTGGTGGGGCCTGGACCTTGTGCTGATGCCCTTCGCCCACGGCTGACAACCATTCCCGCTCCTTCAGCCCTTCCATCCATATCTCTAGCCACTCTTGGTGCTCCATCTGCACTAACCGCTCCAACTATCCCAACACGCTCCTGAGCCTCGCCACGCCTTGCGGAAACATAGTAAGGTAAACATTTTCTCACGTGTGATAGAATACTTTGCCGGCAAGCAAACCTCCTTTAATAAGAAGGTAGAGTTGCATCACGTGTAATGATCAGATAGAGCTCAAGGTTTTGCTTCTGTATATATATTTTATATAAAGATTACACCCTTGCTCTCTCTCTCTCTCTCTCTCTCTCTCTCTCTCTCTCTCTCTCTCTCTCTCTCTCTCTCTCTCTCTCTCTCTCTCTCTCTCTCTCTCTCATTTATAAATAAGTTAACACATATCATTAACCAAAGATCGTGGACTCGATTTCTGCAGTGAAAGGAACGTGAGTCAATTTTCTCCTTTAATTTTGGTCGCTCAAATTCCGGAGGTGGTCTGGATGATTGCATTGATATCGTTGTGGTGACTAATTAAGGCTGGTGGGCTGTTTGTCGTAAACATTTCTACGTCTATGGCTTGGCTCAGTGTATGTTAGTGTGTGTTAGTGTTCATGTGTAGGCTGTGCTCTCTACAATGGTTCCCTACCACAAATGTAGTCTTAGTCGTATGGTGCTTGTTAGTATGAATGCTTGGGTGGGGGTTTCTTAGTATTTCTAGCAAGCTCTTGCCTAAGCTATGTAACCCTTCATACAGTGAAGGGTAGCTACCTGCTGCTTAAATGCACAAGTACCTAAACATGTTAATAAGAAAAATTATTGTGTTGGTCGTGCGCATACTGTGTGTGTGGGCTTGTAATTAAATTTTGTCAATAAAGATGTTAATAATAAATAAAGGTCGTGTTTGCCGTACATATAGTGTATATGATGGTGTTACTAGTATAGTGTGTGTGCATCTTGAACACATACACACACATACACCGGGGGCGCCGGTAGCTGTGTGGATAGCACGCTGGACACGCAATCCTGTGGCCCAGGTTCGATTCCCGGCGCCGGCGAGAAAATATGGGCAGAGTTTCTTTCACATTGATGCATCTGTTACCTAGCAGTAAATAGGTACCTGGGAGTTAGACCGCTGTTACGGGCTGCTTCCTTTGGGTGTGTGTGGCTGTGAAAAAAATAGTAACAGTTTATTGATTGACAGTTGGGAGGCGAGCCGAAAGAGCAGAGCTTAACCCCCCCCCCCCACCCCCACACACACACACCTTCTTGATTGGGATAAGAGGCAAGGTCCTCACCCAGGACCTCACTTGGGTACTGGCGGCTGTTAATTAATCCCCCTAGACCTCCACACTCCTCCACCCTCCTTGTCTATCACTCTCACACACACACACACACACACACACACACACACACACACACACACACACACACACACACACACACACACACACACACACAAGATAAATCACGACTGTTGATACTGGGGGACTTCAACTTTAGAGCAATAGACTGGGAGGCCTATGAAGCAAGAACGGAGGACTTTTGGACATGCAGATTTGTGAACCTCATTCTGGAGACATTCTTGTATCAACACATAAAGCAAGCCACAAGAATGAGGGAAGGAGATGTACCGTCAGTACTGGATCTAGTATTCACCAGGAAAGAAGAAGAGATTTTTGACATCCAGTACCTTCCTCCCTTGGGAAAGAGTGATCACGTCCTGTTAGACATTAAATATGCTTTAAGATATCATCTAGAAGAAAATGGGGACATTGAAACAGTTGATAAACTCGATTTAAGGAGAGGCAACTATGGGGAACTTCGAAATTTTTTTAATGAGTGTAATTGGACAGAATTGTTGCTAGGTAGGGAAGTAAATGAAATGTATGCCAAATTTTTAAAACTATACGAGGAAGGCACACAAACATTCATACCAAAACAGAGATGCAGGGCCAGAAAACAGGATTGGTTCGACAGAAATTGTGAGAGGGCAAGAGACCAAAAGACACAAAAATGGAATCAGTATAGGAAGAGGCCAAACCCCCAAACATACCAGCGATACAAAGATGTGAGAAACAATTATACAGCAGTAAGGAGAGAGGCAGAAAGAAATTTTGAAAAAGGGATAGCAGATAAATGTAAAACAGAACCGGGCCTATTCTTCAAATTTTTTTTTTTTTTTTTTTTTTTTTTTTTTTTTTTTTTTTTTTGTGAGATATATACAAGAGTTGTTACATTCTTGTACAGCCACTAGTATGCGTAGCGTTTCGGGCAGGTCCCTGGAATACGATCCCCTGCCGCGAAGAATCGTTTTTTCATCCAAGTACACATTTTACTGTTGCGTTAAACAGAGGCTACAGTTAAGGAATTGCGCCCAGTAAATCCTCCCCGGCCAGGATACGAACCCATGACATAGCGCTCGCGGAACGCCAGGCGAGTGTCTTACCACTACACCACGGAGACTGCATGAATTCATAAACAACAAATTGCAGGTAAAGGATAATATCCAGAGGTTGAAAATGGGAAACAGATTCACGGAAAATGAAAAGGAAATGTGTGAAACATTAAATGAAAAGTTCCAAAGTGTGTTTGTACAAAATGAAATCTTCAGAGAACCAGACACAATAAGAATTCCAGAGAACAACATAGAGCGGATAGAGGTGTCTAGAGATGAAGTGGAAAATATGCTCAAGGAGCTCGGTAAGAACAAAGCAGTTGGCCCAGATGGCGTTTCACCATGGGTTCTGAGAGAATGTACACCTGAGCTCAGCATTCCTCTTCACCTGATCTTTCAGGCATCCCTGTGTACAGGAATCGTAGCAGACGTGTGGAAACAGGCTAACATAGTTCCAATCTACAAAAGTGGCAGCAGGGAAGACCCCCTCAATTATAGACCTGTATCATTGACAAGTGTAATAGTGAAAGTATTGGAAAAGCTAATCAAAACTAAATGGGTAGAACACCTGGAGAGAAATGATATAATATCAGACAGACAGTATGGTTTTCGATCTGGAAGATCCTGTGTATCGAATTTACTCAGTTTCTATGATCGAGCCACAGAGATATTACAGGAAAGAGATGGTTGGGTTGACTGCATCTATCTGGACCTAAAAAAGGCTTTCGACAGAGTTCCACATAAGAGGTTGTTCTGGAAACTGGAAAATATTGGAGGGGTGACAGGTAAGCTTCTATCATGGATGAAAAATTTTCTGACTGATAGAAAAATGAGGGCAGTAATCAGAGGCAATGTATCGGAATGGAGAAATGTCACAAGTGGAGTACCACAGGGTTCAGTTCTTGCACCAGTGATGTTTATTGTGTACATAAATGATCTACCAGTTGGTATACAGAATTATATGAACATGTTTGCTGATGATGCTAAGATAATAGGAAGGATAAGAAATTTAGATGATTGTCATGCCCTTCAAGAAGACCTGGACAAAATAAGTATATGGAGCACCACCTGGCAAATGGAATTTAATGTTAATAAATGTCATGTTATGGAATGTGGAATAGGAGAACATAGACCCCATACAACCTATATATTATGTGAGAAATCTTTAAAGAATTCTGATAAAGAAAGAGATCTAGGGGTGGTTCTAGATAGAAAACTATCACCTGAGGACCACATAAAGAATATTGTGCAAGGAGCCTATGCGATGCTTTCTAACTTCAGAATTGCATTTAAATACATGGATGGCGATATACTAAAGAAATTGTTCATGACTTTTGTTAGGCCAAAGCTAGAATATGCAGTTGTTGTGTGGTGCCCATATCTTAAGAAGCACATCAACAAACTGGAAAAGGTGCAAAGACATGCTACGAAGTGGCTCCCAGAACTGAAGGGCAAGAGCTACGAGGAGAGGTTGGAAGCATTAAACATGCCAAAACTAGAAGACAGAAGAAAAAGAGGTGATATGATCACTACATACAAAATAGTAACAGGAATTGATAAAATCGACAGGGAAGATTTCCTGAGACCTGGCACTTCGAGAACAAGAGGTCATAGATTTAAACTAGCTAAACACAGATGCCGAAGAAATATAAGAAAATTCACCTTCGCAAATAGAGTGGTAGACGGTTGGAACAAGTTAAGTGAGAAGGTGGTGGAGGCCAAGACCGTCAGTAGTTTCAAAGCGTTATATGACAAAGAGTGCTGGGAAGACGGGACACCACGAGCGTAGCTCTCATCCTGTAACTACACTTAGGTAATTACACTTAGGTAATTACACACACACACACACACACACACACACACACACACACACACACACACACACACACACACACACACACACACATGTTCCCCCCCTGGGGGAACAGGTTGTGGAAGCAAATACTATTCATACTTTTAAAACTAGGTATGATAGGGAAATGGGACAGGAGTCATTGCTGTAAACAACCGATAGCTGGAAAGGCGGGATCCAAGAGTCAATGCTCGAATTGACTGCAAGCACAAATAGGTGAGTACACACACACACACACACGCGCGCAAAGAAGATCTATATGGGACTAATAGAACAAGAACCCGGCAATGTGATGTTATAGTGGCCAGAATAGTGGTAAGACACTCGCCTGTGTCTAAGAAGGTGTAGTGGTAAGGCACTCGCCTGGCGTTCCGCGAGCGCTTTGTCATGGGTTCGTATCCTGGCCGGGGAGGATTTACTGGGCGCAAATCCTTAACTGTAGCCTCTGTTTAACTCAACAGTAAAATGGGTACTTGGTTGTAACAACGATTCTTCGCGGCAGGGGATCGTATTCCAGGGACCTGCCCAAAACGCTACGCTTACTAGTGGCTGTACAAGAATGTAACAACTCTTGTATATATCTCAAAAAAAAAAAAAAAAAAAATACCCCTGGGATATAGACGTATCTGGCAGCTTTCTCAAAACCCAAATGTCGAGTACACAATGTGTCAACTTTGTGAAAGAGAAAACATGCACTCTCTTGAACATTATATTGTAGAATGTCCCATATTGACTGACTTTCGCCCTCCTGGGCTAAGGTATGCTGAACTGTGTAATTACTATATGAGTACTGGAACACTTGATGATATATTGGACTTGTATCCAAGATTAACCATGTAATATATCAATTATACAATGTATGTATGTGATGTAACTATATAACCTGAGCTTGTAA